GGCCACAAGCGAGTGGTTCTGCTCGGCCACATGCTTCTGCCCTGATCAGTGCCTCACCATAGGCCCAAAGCCACGGGGCCAACCAGACAGGGGCTAAAACCTCCAAAACAAGCAAAAATAACCCTTTTCTTTTCTTTTTTCTTCTGAGAGAGAGAGAGGAGAGAGAGAGAGAGAGAGAGAGAGAGAGAGGATCAGAACCCAGCGACCCGCACATGCCAGGTGAGCGCTATTGCTTGAGCCACATCCCCAGCCCCCCTTTTCTTTTTATAAGCTAATTTTTTCAGGTATTTTGCTATAGTGACAGCTAACACACCTACTCTCCTGAAAAACTTGAGTTTCACTGAAGTTGCTTTGAAAGGTGCACCAAACCATAAGTGCTGTCATTGTAAAGTTTGTTAGTAGGCATTGTTGAGACATATAAATTGAGATATTAGATGCTGACCACTAAATATCAACTAAAAGGAAAAAAAATGAAACTTTTAAAATTAAGAGACCCCCTATAAGAATATCAAAAAACAAATACTGCGACATAAAACTAATGAAAAGACTGACAGTCAGAAAATTGTAAAATATGATTGAATGGCAAGGCATGGTGGCACACACCTGTAATCCTAGCTACTCCAGAGTCTGAGGCAGGAAGATCACAAGTTCAAGGCCAGTCTGGCAGCTTGTTGAGACCCTGTTTCAAAATGAAAAATGAAATGGGCTGGGGGTGTAGCTTAGTGGTAGAGTGCCCCTGAATTCAGTCCTCAGTAACAAAAACAAAAGCACCACTGGGAGATGTTAGACAAGAAAACTAAATACCTAGAGGGGTCTACCGATTCAATATAGTAATAGAGTTGTTTCTCCCAAATATGAGATATATATATATATATACATATATATATATATATATATATATATGTATTTTCTCCCCAAATATGAAAAAAATTCATGAAAAATTCACAAAATGAAATTTTCCCTGGTACTGGGAGTTGAATCCTGTGTCCTATGCATACCAGGGAAGTGTTCCACCATTGACCTACATTTCTAGCCATTTTTTTATACTTTTTTATTTTAAGACACAGCCTTGCTAAGTTGTTCCAGCTGGCCTTGAACTTGTGATCTTCCTACCTCAGCCTCTGAAATGGAGTCCTTGGGATCATGGTGGGCATCACTGCACCTGGCTGGAATTTGGGTTTTACAAATTGAGATGTGACCTGAAGGTGGACAAGTTATTTTAGGAATTAACCAATGCAAAAATTCTAAAGACCCACCTGAGGGACATCTCGCTTTAGGAAAGTCCAGAGCATTGCACCTTCCAGGAAGGGTGGAGGTAAGAAGCCACCCAGTTGCTCCCCTGGATCTAAGGCCTGCCTGTCTCTTTGGCATTCTGGGAGGGAGACCTTCAGGAAGTCTGACACTCCAGAGCGCTGGCAGGAGAGGGTAGTGCCTCCTGAAATTCCCACAGGCTCCTTTCTGTGAAGCCCAGCCGTGAGGCTATGGCTGCTCTTGGTGGAAGTTAGCCAAGAGGCTCTCCAGGTATTGCTGAGGCTCACCCACAGTCTGCTTGGGAGGTCCCATCTGTCTCAGGAGGGAAGGGCCTGCCTCTAGTTAGCAGGAGAGCGGGCACCTCACCATGGGTGTCCAGCTGGGCTTAGTGAGGGGATGGAGGGGTTGATCAGCTCTGGGGCCTGGCAGCCTGAGGGTCTGAATGCTGGCTTCTCTCCCTACCAAGAATGCAACCACAGGCCAAGGACTTAACCTCCTCAGGCTTTGGTTCCCTCTCCTGCAAATGGGCTCATAGGGGTATTGGGTGGTTGGTTCTCATGACTCCTGGGCCCTCAGCCTTGTCCGTGGTGAGGGAGTCCTGACTGAGCAGGTCTATAGTTACCAGGCTCTTCCCTGTCCCTCAGGTCAGGCTGCTGGGTCCCATCCCAGCTCCTGGGCTTGTGTCCTCAGCTGAAGGTCTGGTCAGGCTCTCTAGGGCTTTCTCTGCAGGAGTGACCAGACTGGGAATCAGGCGTACAGGGCTGAGTCATGTCCCCTCCCTCCAATGCATATCCACCCAAAACAAAAGAAGGGACCTTATTTGTAGGTAGAGTCTTTGCAAATGTAATGAGTAAAGACCTCTCAAAATCATTCTGGATTTAGGTCCCAAATTCAAGGACAGGTGTCCCTATAAGAGGAGAAGTACTGGTAACCTAGGAGGCAAAAAAGGGAGAGAGTACTGTCATATAAGGAAGGACCCCCTGGAGCCACCCGAAGCTGGAAGAGGCAGGAAGGACCCCCTCCTCTGTTGCCTCAAGAGGGAGTGCAGCTCTGTCCACAGCCTGATTTCAGACTCGGCTTTCAGAGCTGTGAGAGAGATTTGGGATAATTTATGGCAATGCTAACAGATGTGTGCACCTGTGTTGGCACAGTAGGTTTGCGCTCATGAGCGAGTTCCTTGGATGTGGGTCCACTGACCACGCTCATGTCCCTCTGAGTCTACATAGCTGAGAAAGGCTGCCTGAAGGGCTAGTGAGGTCACCCAGGAAGTGGAACCCTGGGAACCAACCCTAGTCCTCCAGCTGCCACCTGGTTGTATGTCCTTTAAACAAACATACATGTGGGAGCTGGGTGCAGTGGCCACACCTGTAATCCCCGTGACCTGAGAGTCTGAGGCAAGAGGATATGCAAGTTCAAGGCCAGCCTCTTGCAAGCGAATGAGACCCTATCTCAAAATAAAAAGGGCTGGGGTTGTGGCTAGGTGGTAGAGCACTTGCCTAGCATCTGTGAGGCACTGGGTTTGATCCTCAGCACCACATAAAAATAAATAAAAAACAACGGGCAGGGGGGCTGGGGACATAGCTCAGTTGGTAGAGTGCTTGCCTGGCATGTAAAAGTCCTGGGTTCCAGCCCCAAACCCTCGCAAAAAAAAAAAAAGGTTGGGGATGGTGCTCAGTGGTAAAGCGACTCTGGTCCAACCCCCACACACATACACACCATTAACAGAAGGCCTGTGGTATGATGAAGGGCTTCAGCATCCAGAGCACCGTGGAATCACTCACTGAGGTTATATTTATTTCTAAATGTAAGTGTGTCTGATGCTCTATTTTTATGGAAAAGCGATGCTGCTTACTGAATTTAAAAGACCCACAGACTTGCTGGCTCGGGAAGCTGCTGCTTTGGCCACCTGCTCGTCTGTACTGTTTTGGGGTCTGCCACTCTCCCTCATCCCAGATTTTCTTCCACGTTTCCATGTAGTGCTGGGAGTTTCCAATTGTTATAGTCCCCCCCTTTCTCTTTATGCTGGGCAGGACTTCAAATTTCATACTACAGAAGTCATAACTGCTTGTGGCAACATGGAAACCATACATAGATTGTGCGCTGCAGGTATCAATCTGTAGATCATACACTTAAAGAGAAACCTTTCCTGAGTCTCCAGGGTGGCCAGGGCTGAGCAGCTGTGTGTCAACTGCTCTTGGGAAGTCTTGAGGGAAGGAGCCTCAGGATTTCCTGGCCACTCCCACCCCTACCTCATCCTAAAGATGGGCAGTGCTCTTGAAAACAGTAGCTGTACAACTGCCTCAGCCATGGATCCTATGTTGCCCAAACACTTTTGGTGCACAGGGCCATTCTGCAAGGGATGAGTGGACATGGATCCTTATCTCTGCCACATTTGCTGAAGCTGTGGGCTGTGGGGAACTCCAGAGAGCACTGGCAGTGACATGAGCAAGTACATGGTGCAGGAGGCTGAGCCCCTCCTGCAGGGGCTCAGGATCATAAGGGGCAGAGGGGTCCTCAAAGGGCCTTTGGAGGACCCAGCAGCCACCACTCTGTGGCTGACTCTGAAAGATTTCAGCAGCAGGGTTGGGGTTGTAACTCTGTGGTACAGCGCTTGCCTAGCCCATGTGAAGCACTGGGTTTAATCCTCAGCACCACATAAAAACTAAATAAATAAAGGTATTGTGTCCATCTCAACTAAAAAAAATTAAAAAAAAAAAAAAAAAGATTTCAGCAGCAGATGTGCAGGTAGGAATGTGAGTGGTGGGAACCCCCAAAGTTACATGGGCCTTGGGGCTGGAGGCCTGGGAATCTAGATTTCTTTCACCTGGCGTCCAGCTTTCTGCCCCAGTCCTACCTGAGAGTTTTGAGGGACACACACAGCTGTACCACTACCCAAGGTGCTCAGGGGCTGATGGCAGCCTGCTGCTAATGGCTTGACCTACTTTAAATTTTTCTCATTAGTCAACATTTAAAAATTCTGAGATTTGGGGCTGGGTAAAGTGATAAAGTACTTGCCTACCAGGAACCAGATCCTGGGTTCCATCCCCAGCACTGCAAAAAACAAAACCAAAAAACAGATTTTACATGCAACTCCAATTTTTTGCTCCTGTTGGAAGATTCAAGCCATGCCCACGCTGAGCTTAAGGTGCCCTTGGAGTGGGGCACAGCGCCCTCACGCTCGCTCCCAGCGCACCCAGCTTCCTCACACCCAGCCTGCTATATTCATGTACATTCCGGTCCTCCGGAGGCTAACGTTCAAATACGAAATTCCCGTTGATACCTTATAGGATTTATCCCAAACACCTTTCCTAGGCTCCAATCTGTGCTGCTCCTTAGGGACATCGGTGTCAAGAGAACAGGGGGAGAGGGTCGTGCACTGCAGGTATCAAGCGGTTGGGAAGGCTGCGGGAGGATCACGCACAGCGCCGGAGCGCCGCTTAGGAGCGCAGCAGTCCCTCTAAGGTCTGCAGCCCCGCCCGCCCGCGGTGCTCCCGGCACGACCCCGGGCCTTAGGGACCGAGAGGTCCCGGCCTGGGGCCTTTCTGGACACGGCTTCTGGGCATTTCCAGTGGGGGAGGGGCGGAGAAAAGAAAACCTACGGCAGTGTCGATGACACCGTCAAATGCTTAAAACACCCGCCTGCCAGAAGTGGAGAGTGCGGTGCAGCCCGAAGAGCGGTAGAGACTAGGTGCGTGCACACTTCGGTTTAGGCGATTTATTACCCTTCCCTCCCCCAAACAGAAATAAAGGGCAGAAGACGGCTTCCGGGCGCGGCTGGTGCAGGCGCTGCGCTTACCGGCGCTCGGCGGGAGCCCACGTCGTCCGGCGGTGTCCTCCGCCTGGCTCGCCGCAGCCATTTTGGAGCGGCGGAGACAAAGAGCAGACCCGCCGCCTGTGCCTCGACCGCCGGCCCCCAGCGCCGCCGCCGCCGCACCCTCCAGCCCGCGCCCGCTCCCGCACCCGTTCCCACACCGGTACCCATACCCACACCCCGCGCCCGCGCCCGGCCTCTGGCGCTCGCGGCCATTGGCCGCGCCTTTTAAGCCCGCGCCGCAGCCAATCAGCGACGCCAGGGCGCGGGCGGGGGCGGCGCGCGCCGCCGCGCCTGCGCAGTTCGGCGCCCCTCCCCCCGTC